GGTACATAAATCTCAGTGATATTATCACTGAGATGTGACATGCACTCGTCAGTTTCCAAAATTACGAAAAATAATCATAATGAAAATATTCAATGTGATATCGAAACGATCGCGTCATACAGCTGTTGTTGCACCTGTAATGAAAGACATGCAGATGGATAGACTAGCATAATCTAGTCTAATACATAGCGTTTTATTATTCTTTTTCAAATCAACCAAATGGATTAGTTATTGATTTCATTTAAAAATTTTTTTTGTTTATTGGTATAAACAATTTAAGATGAAATAAAAAATTTCGTTATAAATTGAATATTTTTGAGATATGTGTTCTCAGATATCAAGATTTGTCATCCTTATCTTTTTCTTTCTCTCCTAATTTTTATTTTTCAATTTGAATGGATTTTCACTGATTATCAATCATTTATTTTACTACAAACATATTAAAATAAATCGTCATCAAGGACATTACTCATAGATGTCAACATTTATAATACAGAATAATGAGAAATTTTCAAGTAAACTCAATAAAATATTATTTTAAAGAAAAGATTTGCATTTAGACATCAATTAAAAACTTTTGAACTCGATGATTTTGCCAATCACTACCATAAAGATTTCCATCAATATCGAATGATAAACCAGTAGGACCATTGAATTGATTTGATTCCTTTCCACTTCCATTTCCACCAACAACAATTTCACCTTGTACATTTCCTTCACACCAACGCATTACTCGATTATTCATCGAGTCTGCCACATAGATTTGATCCAAACGATCAACAATCACTCCTGTAGGTGAAGACAATTGTTCGAGACAATTTCCTTGACCATTGCCACCAGCAATTATTCTTCCATTTTGATTTCCTTCTTTCCATTGTCTTACTTCATTCTTTTCAGTATCAGAAACATAAACAAATCCATTTTTATTCATTGTCAAACCCTCACAATCGATGTCAGAAATAAGAATTTGTTGTTTTGTTTCTTTTTGATAAAACCATCGTATTACGCATTTGTTAGTTTGATCACAAATAATCAAGGAATTATTTTGTTTGTCAAAAATTACATTCATTGGATTCTTCAACCAATCATTTCCATTTCCATCTGCAATAACTTGACCATTCTTCGAATCATATTTCCATTCAGCAATATAAATCGCTTTTTCATCATCAATAAAGATGCCTTGTGGGGCAAAGAGCTGATTCAGTTGATTTCCAAAAAAACGATAGAAATTAATAACTATTCACCTGAAAATAATGAAAACAACATAGCAGTATACCTTGGTTATAGACATAGTTAACTCTAAACTCACAATGTATTATTGAAAAATATGTACTTTTATTGCTAAAATACAGATAATATCTTAAGTGCATTTAATCACATATCAATAATTGGAAATTTGATATTCTCTCCATTGTGTCTAATCCTTCCGATTCTATTCCGCGAAAAATACAATAAAAATGAACTTAACAAACGAATAAATATGAATCTTTCTGTTTCTATGAATCGAAGAAGAAATTTAAATAATAAAATGGTTTTCAAAGTTGACCATTTTTACATATAGCGGGTATGGATATGAGGATAAATGTGAGATTTCATCCAGTTTTTGATTTTATCAATAATGACTCGCTTACTTTGTTTACATAAGTAAGTATGTGTTGATTTCTCTTCGATGACTTATAGAATAAGTAAAAAAAAATAAAATAACTGCAAACTTGACTATATGAAAACTAGTTAAAATATTAGGCGGATTATACAAGCGTATTCAAAGCTATATATTTCTATAAAGCCGGTAAGCATTATTAAAAAAAACTTTTGTATAGAGGTTATGAATGTGAGTAGGATAGATATGGCACATCCACATCATAAAATATTTGATGTATATACATATATTCTTTTCACACGAAACTGTGAGTGTTGTTTTAAATTCTTTCTTCTCCAATATCCTTAATCTTTATTAATGCAGTTGAGAATTTGAGTTTTCAAGGCGATCGCCGGATTCATCCTTTGATTTTTCTAAGCATATTAGCCGTGGTTCAGCTGTTTGTCGAGTCCAAAGATATTTGCATGGATAGTTTGGAAGGTATATATGTCGTCTTAGTTCATGTGATATGCAATCGATTTCAATATCGTCAATATCATTTGGTTGAAATTGATTCGATGGTAGACATTCGACTGCAGGCCATCTTTCAACTTCCAGATTAATATAAATAGAACCCATATTAGCACTTTGGGATGATAGTGTATGTTGAGCTCGATCACGATATTTATGACATATAGCTAACATTCGTCGTATAATTGGCAAAACGAAAAGTTTAGCTAAGAGAAATGAAAAGCCAAATAATTCAATAACCAATGAAGTGAATAACAATGCTTGAAAGACAGTTTGCCGTGTTCGTACGATAGGTTCTTGAATATTTTTAATATAGAACGAACGTTCGTCAAACGTAATTCGAATAGTAGTCAATGCAAATGTATAGCGTAAATAATTGCCGAACTCAGTATAGAATGCCTCATTAAATAATGATGCACCATGAACAGATGATAGCCACAAACCAGAATAAGTGATCGGACGGTTTTTTTCCATACTTTTTGTTATATTGATAATTTTTGTCATTATAAATGGAATTGTAGATGCATGAGCCAATGTTTGATTCGGTGCTGAAAACAATTGGCAGAAATCTAATGCGTGTAACATAGTGTTCATTATTGTTTGACTCTCGCCACGAAGACATATACGAACAGCACTTGCCCAATGAGGACCTGTCATATTGAGTTGTACAGACGAGTAATGATCGGGTAGAGTGAAAGTTACTGACGTTACAGCATTCCATTTCGAACGTTCACATGACAATATTAAGTTAGCATATTGTGTTCCAATTAAATTTTCTTGGACACTAATACTGTCACAAGTAAAGCCAGTATTGATGAGTTCAACTGTTATGTTAAAAATTTGATTATCGAGAAGATTAAACATTCGCTGAGCATCGATCGATTGTGGTATTGCAAGTAGATCGAGACCTGTCGCGAATTTTGCATTGATCAATGTTGAATCGCAAGCAAAATTTGCTGGCTCAGAAACTTCTTCAATTGGATAACGCTTGAGAAACGATGCAGAAAACCAATAGGCAAACGAAACGAGAACAATAATAGCGATAGTAGCTAATCCACCAACCCAACGTTGTCCTTCGCGAATGAGATCTGTATGCATAAAAATTGTTTTTACCCGTGTTCGATAACGATTATACTGTTGCCATTTGCCAAGCTTTATTACTGCCATCATTATCCAGACAGAAAAAGCAAAAGCACCTGCAATTAATGTCCAAAAAAAAGGCGAAATAATCATACATGAAAAGTTCGAGTCTGTTTCAAACATATTCTCCAAAAGAATATCATCGAAATTAGTTGTGTCAGCTGATACTGGATAAGCCGTTACTTGACTGTAGGACGTCATCGTATTCAAGTCAAATTCGACGAGTGCTGCAAGAGGACAGTACGAGTTCGAATTATTTCGAGAACAAGAAATACATGAAGTCCCATCAGAACGTGCTATACCTGGATTTCGAGTTCCAGGCAAACAGATTGTACATGGACCTAGACCGAATTCATGGCTGAAAGTACCACCAATACAAGGCGTAGGTGAATAATAGAATACGAATGCTGTAGCTGACGGTTCGACCCACATTGAAGCATAATTGATAGGAGATGCGGGAACAATTATAACAAGGCTATAATCAGTTAACAGAGCTAAATTGCCATTACTAGTAATGACCAAACGAACAAAATGTGGTTGAAATAATTGATTGCCGATTGTTTGTTGATTATTCGGAAATGTATAGAGTGGAGAAGTGGATGACACAGAATTTTTATCATAAAAAAATATCTGTGATTGTGACCACGATGAGTACAAACTATGATAAGCTACGACGGCTATAGTTTGTTCGTCTACCCATCCTACTAAACGTCCGAATGAAGTCAAGCTCGACGAAGTTACAGTGTATACATGTATTTTAGTCAATGAAGTTTGATTCTTTTTCAGTATTACAATTGTATTAAGACGATGAATGCCGACAAGTACGTTTTCATGTCGAATAGCTACTGATACTTCATAGAGTTCGTTGTACGAGAGAAGATTTGATGGTACTAAATACGTACTTTCAACAATAAGCGTTTCACACGAGTAACTTATTAATGAAATTAGATCAATAAGACATTCCATAATGGCATAATTCTTTTTCTCGCTACGATTAAAACCATATCCGACCACTACCGCCCATTGATCACTGAAACCGAATGCATGAGGAAGAAAGATGATCGATGGCCAGAGCGTTTCTAATGTTAGATTCTGAACTATTTGATTAGTGGCGATCTCGAGTTTGAATACCATAGTGCTAGTAAAACCATAGACAAAAGTCGCATGAGAATCGATACCGATCAGAAAATAATTTTGAGGTTTATCTGCGCTGTGTAAAACTGTCATTTGATGCTGTGCGTTACATGTCGATCGTGAAACAGTAACAAGACAAATGAATAGTGTCGATTTTGTTGTAATTTCACCTGCAAAAGCGAACATAAACATCTCACGATTAGTGCCATTACTAGCTGCACCGATGACACCAATACTATGAACAAAATAATCAGTTGACACGTATCCTACATTGCAATGTTTGCGTACATCTTTTGTCGAACTGTTGAACGGATTAATTACAACACCAAAATTCAAGAAGGCATTGGACGCTGAAACAGATAGTTCGTTGTTGGTAGATAATTTAATACCTGTTGCAGCATTGTTACGATCGTACTCGCAGTTCGAACGACGCAAAACGAGTCCAAAAAGTAGTACGAAAGAGATCCACATACGATTAACAGTCAAAATGTCACTATCTAAATAGAACACAATTTCAAATTGAGAAATCAAATCTTTGATATTATTATTTCTATGAACAATTTTTTCGCATAACAGTTTCCAATATATGCATTAAATTCTGCAAAATCTAGTCATCTTATTGAGTACAGACGAATTTCACTAATAATTGGTAAACTCATAATTGCGGAGTTTTTCAATGAGAAAAAATAGATGGTATACGGAACTTCAATATATAAATACTCACAAATAATAGTATTGAACAAAAAAAGAAAACAAGTGATAATTAACCATACAAAAATAGTAGAAATTAGTTAATGAAACATTTTATCGTTGAGATGTGTTATTAGAGTTCTGCATTGTTTCATATGTAATTCTTAGTATACATCAATGTTTATGTCGTTATCATACATATAGCATATTTGTTAGTTCTCAAACAATTTTTTTCCGTTCTGTTGTTTTGCGTCAGTCATAAATAGGTCATGTGTAGGCTATCTTTACAATTGTATATATACAATGTCCTTTGTTAAAAACATTCAACTAATGAGTCAATCAAGATAAGTAATAGAACATCTCGTTAGATTGATGTCATTGTTTATGGAAAGAAAAAAAAAATGTTTCTGGTTTCTGTCAATGTCTGTCTATTGTATGATAACGATTATTTCTGTAGATGACTATTTTTTTTACATTCTTTCTTGTTCTCCACGTACACAATGTATTCTCATTAAGCTTTACCAGTACCCATGACTTATGTTTGAAACATAATATAATATATGTAAATCTGTTTATTAGTTTCATTCTTCTACACGCATATAAACTCATTATCATCGTATTTATATTTGACTACTTTCATTGTAATAAAAAAAAATAACATCACATTTAAATCTTGTTACAACGTAGACGATCTTAATAAATAAATATACTAGATCAAAAAGTTATTTGTTTACTTTCTATATAGTATAAATTAGAAAATCGAACTATATTTTCAAATCATAATGAATTATAAAAATATATCAAATAGTATAAGAAACTAAATAGTTTTAATTTTTAATTTCATTTTATATAAACTG